ATATATATATATATAAAAAAAAAAAAAATATTATATATATATATATATATATTTTTTTATAATATAAAAAAATATAAAAATAAAAAAAATATATATATATATATATATATATATATAAATAAAAAAAAAAAAATATATATATATATATATATATATATATATATATATATATATATATATATATATATATATATATATATATAAAAATATTGTTGAAATGTTGTAGTTTGTAATTTTTTTTTGCAATACTATGCATGAATTTAAATGTATTATCTTTCCATTTCTAAACATGTTCTGTGAATAAAAAAATTAATAAATATATTTGTTAAATAAATCTGTTTTGTTCAAATGCACCAAAATATATTACTCATATTCACTGAGAAAAGGATAAAAATATTCATTTTCACAATGGAGTGTACTCATATATGCTGAGCACTGTATATACATAATGCATTATGCACAATAATATCATTTGACAGCACTAGAAATTTGAGCATATTTATAAAACCAGTCACTGTTACAATTCATTATTTAACATTTTAAATCAATAAATTATTTGGTTGAAATAATATTTAATGCATTGAATCTGCTGAAATGATATAAGCCACAAATCTATTTGTATCTCTTTTGTACCTTAAGCACAAACTGCACTGTAATTGCACAGGGCGTAAAGAGAGACAGAATCAAAGTTCATCACACATTGCTCTTATACTAGCTGAGATAAATAAGGTTACAGGCATGGTTTCACGCACGCAATCAGTAACACTCAACCATTGCAGTTAATCTGTATTATTATTATCAATTTAATAATATAGGATGCAGCATAAAACTCTAATGCATATCACTGATTAGGAAAAACTAAATACATTTTTAAGCATCAAATAATCATGTGGATTATTGCCCCTTCTTTTTATTTCCCCCCCTAATTTCTGTTTATTGGAGAACAGATTCTCTCAACACATTTCTAAACATAATAGTTTTAATAACTCATCTCTAATAACTGATTTATTTTATCTTTGCCATGATGACAGTAAATAATATTTGACTAGATATTGTTCAAGATACTTACAGCCTAAAGCTCATAAGGGCTAATAAAATAATAATAAGTCCCTAAAATGGTGTTTAAAAATTAACAAACTGCTTTTATTCTAGCCAAAATAAAACAAATAAGACTTTCTCCAGAAGAAAAAATATTATCAGACATACTGTGAAAATGTCTTTGCTCTGTTAAACATCATTTGGGAAATATAACATTTTTTTAAAAAATAATAATAATCAAAGGGGGGCTAATAATTCTGACTTCATCTGTATTTATTTAACTTACACTGTACAGTACCCCAAGTTTCTCTCTTATATTCAACACACAAAAAAAGATATTTAAATAAATGTTGGTAGCCAGAATCCATTGGGAACACTAGTATTTTTTCTAAAGTCAGATCGTATATTGTGTTCAACAGAAAAATAAAGCTTATTAAGGTGTAAAATGAATGTTTTGAGCTTAAACACTGTGAAACACAGCTCAATACACTGTAAAAATAAAGTCTTACTGCCTTACATTTTTAGCTGAATCAAATACATTTTCTAGTCATCTCAACTTACATCAGTCACACTGACTAAAATATTATGTTAAGTTTAATATAAGTTTAAAAAATGAGTTGAAACTTGATTAACATAACTAAAATCAGTTAAAGTAATGTATTTGTGTCATAGTGAAGTGTAATACATACAATGTTGTCATACATACAGTGTAAAAAGAGTGAGTAAATGCTCAATATGGGTGAACTATCCCTTTAACAGGTGTTTTACTGTAGCCTATACCTGATTTACATTTATTTTACATCCTTTTTCACAGCCTAAGCTACTTCATGCATCATGACAACAAGAGTCAGTCCATGTAATCTGCTGTTTGTCTTACATGACGTTATCTGGAATTGATTTGCTCGATAAATTAATGTTTTAATAACAGTATAATTTAACTACAGTTTAACGTTATTTTAATTGTTGTTTTAAATTAATATACACTACAGATGCTGCTAATATGTATATTTACAGCCCGAGTTGAATTCGCTGGCTAGTGTCTTCATGAGCTCTACAACTAGTCGACTACATGTAAAATGGCTCAGTTGAATGCAAACAGCGTCAGTTGGAGATAGATTAAGCTTCATCTTACACATTATTTTTTTATTCCAAAAATGAGGTGATTTTATTTTTGAGAGAAGTGCAAATGGATTCAAACGTACCTGAACGATCCCATCTGTTTGCAAACCCAGGGTTACTGAGAAAGCCCCACCTGTGAGGGTTGTTCTTCCAGCTGACCTTTGCTCCTGGAGTATTTTCTTTTACATGTCTGGTTCATAAAGCACGCCCATGAAAATCGGTGGTGTTTTCCATATGTCTTTGAGCTTTTCCATACGGCACCGTCCTGAAAATTGTGGGTATTTAACGTTTTATTGGATTTTTCGTTATAAATAAGGTATGGTTTTATTACAGTAAATTTGTTGCTATCTAATTGCTTTTTTATATTCAGCACTGATTCATAAATGGCTATTTTTACATGCTTTAGGCTTTTACAAACCTGTGTAGCTCAAACCTTAAATTTTTTCCAGTTTGTGGTTATTTAATGTTACGTTGCCAGTTATGAAAAGAAAATGCTAAAAGATATATTTAACTGATTTGAGAGCAGTTCGAGGCGACATTGATCAGCACTGTCGCCTCACAGCAAGAAGGTTCGCTGGGTCGCTGGTTCGAGCCTCGGCAGCTGGGCCAGTTGGCATTTCTGTGTGGAGCTTGCATGTTCTCCCCATGTTGGCGTGGGTTTCCTCTGGGTGCTGCGTTTACCCCACAGTCCGAAGATATGCTCTATAGGGGAATTTGATAAACTAAATTGTGTATGTGTGGAAATGTGAGAGTGTATAGGTGTTTCTCAGTACTGGGTTTCTGCTGGAAGGGCATCCGCTGTGTAAAACATATGCTGGATAAGTTGGCGGTTCATTCTGCTGTGATGCTTTAATTAACCGAATTAGATGGTAAAATATGAGAGGACAAAACCTATATAATAATAATAATAT